CGTATTGATTTCAGTACGGCCGTATTGAAGTTTCAGAAACTTTAATACGCCGTATTGAGTTCACTGCGGCCGTGTTGAAGCTTCAATACGGCCGTATTAAGTTTAGTACGGCCGTATTGGGCTTCATTCCCTCCACTTCCTTATTTTAAGCTACTCTAAGACCTCTAAACCTACAGATAGCCATCCTATGGTCTTCTAGGAGTCCTTCTGGCTGACTTTCCTTCGATCTTTGAGAGTCTTCGAGTCTTATTTCCGACCCGGACAATTTTAGGGGTCTACATTGGTAGGTGGTGCCCTTGTGCTGGTAGGCAGAGGAGTAGATGGGTGACAGAGATTCTAGTGTTGCCCCTGCCATGTGAGTATTGTGATGCCTCTCCAGGCATCTATTATGGGGTCCTTTCGGTTCGTTGATGACTGATTTTTTATGCTTTCCTGATTGATGATTGTTGATGCCCCTAGTTTGGGCTGCTTTTTCCTTTTGTCAGGATGCAAAAAATGCGGGATGCTTATTCATGCAAGATTTTTATTTATTTATTTTTGAATAATCCCCCTTGGATAAACAAAACTTTTTAAGTGTGTGAAATGCTTTTGCATGCGTGCAATGCATGTTTTGATTTTAGTTTGATTTTTAGAAGGTGGCTCTTTTTTTCTCTTCTCATGAAGAGACTGGTTCGATTGATGCACAACTTTAGTTGTATTGGCCATTTGATGTATCGAACCATCTTGGGGCTCCCTCTTTTTATGCTTATAGACCCTAACTTTTGCCTAGGATGTATCCTAGCAGGTATTTTTGCTCTTTTTATTTGTCCTAATTTTTTCCTGGGACACCCTTTACGGGTTTTCATCCCAGAGGGTCATTTTCATATTTTATTGAAATGTTCAATTTTGACAACCATCAACAATATACTTCATTATGATTGGACAAGACAGAAAGGACGGGAAAAGATGATTTAGAATGGGTGGTTGAGATAGGTCAGTGTTTAAGTTTTTTTTAAACAAACATTTCCTTGGATGATTATTATAATCATTCTCCTAATTATCTTGGACTACATGTCTAAGTCTTGGGCAAAGTCTTCGTATTTCAGCCTCTTATAGAAGTATTCAAGTCGCCTTTTGGATTCCAGCTTGGAGAGTCGTCACTTTCTATTTTTCTTTTTAGGTGGCCATGAGACTTTTCTTAGTCTTCTTTTTGTTGGTCCATTGCTTTTTAAGTGCAGGATATTTTTCCATCATATGTTCAGGTTTCTTACACTTATAGCAAATGATCACTTTATTGTTTCCTTGAACAGGTTTCTTGTATCTATCCTTTTTTATGTGGAAACTCTTCAATTTTCCTTTCTTTTTGAGAAATTTCTTAAACTTTTTGGGCATGAGAGATATATCATCACCCGTGGAGTTTTCAAAACTATCATCTGAGTTGTTGTGCTCAGACTCAACCTTAATAACTTTGCCTTTATCTTTCTTCTTACTGGTTTCATCGATCCTTAAAGAAACATAATCATTTGCCTTGAGATGATCCTTATTGTTCAAATGGACTTCATGAACTCTTAAAGCTCCTAAAATTTCATCCAAAGTGAAAGTCTTGAGATCGTGAGCCTTTGATATGGTGATGGACTTAGGTTCCCAAATCTTTGGAAGGCTATCTAAGATCTTGAGATTGTTATGAGCTTTGAAAAACTTGGTTCCCAAAGATTTTAACCCACTAAGAATAATTTGGAATCTTCCAAACATTTCATCATTCACCTTCATAGAGAACAACTCATAGTTTCTTTGAGGAGTAATAACTCCTCTAAGCCTAACATCTTCAGTACCCTCGTGAGTTACCCTAATGGTTTCCCATATTTCTTTGGCAGTTTTGCAGCTATAGAATTTGTTGTATTTTGTTTTGGAGAAAAAGAAAGCCAAGATATATCTTAAGTTTGTGTTGAGTTGTAGGATGTTGTAGTCTTCCTACATATATTCACTCTCTACCTTAATTAGTAACTGCAACATCACCTCTTATGATGATCTTCCAAAGATGATATTGGGTGGACTTAATGAACATCTCCATCTTATCCTTTTAATATGGATAGTCTTTATTAAAGGCTAGAGACATTGTAAGAGAAGCTCCTTCAGATAGGTACTAACCTTTATTTGTTCCCATCATAGGATCTTTTCCTTAAGCATGGTTAGATGCTCAACCCTGTCAAAACTTGACCTTGATACCAAACTGTAGAGAGAGAGAGAGACTAGAACAGGGTTGAGTAACATCAATAAAAAATCTCACTTTTTTCTTTAAACAGTGAAATGGTATTATAATTGTAAAAGTGGGGACAATGAGACACTATACTAGTTCATCTCAACGACTAAGACTATGTCTAGTTCTTGATCAACCTGATCAAATTCCACTATCTTTTACAAAGATACAAGTATTCTTTCACAAGTCACTCCTACCTCAACCTAAGTATTCTTTGACTTGCCTCTTCAAGCAATTATCAAAGTATTCTTTGAACACAAAGTCTCTTCAAGCTTCAAACAATTAAGTATTTTTTTACAATCAAGTCTCTCTAGGCTCAAAATAATAACACTAAAGCTAGGTGAAATAACAAAGTTGTTTTCATCTTACTATAAAGAAGTGACACAACCAAATAAGTACAAATCTTATTAATAGAAAGAATGAATGTAATTTTTGCAATGTGTTGTCACTACTTTCTGAAACTTCAGGCTTCTTTATAGGTGTTTCATAAAGATGACTGTTGCAAATTTTTTAACATCTCTCACAAGCTTGCTTCGTCTGTCTTCATCTTTGTTTCTTGTGGTGTATGTTTGTTGGTGCATTAAATGTGTTTCACCAAATTGTCATTTTTCATCTGATCAAAGAAACTACTCATCACCTTTTTTTTATAGTTAATTGTGAGTACCAAAAAAGTTTTATCAATTTAGTCTATTAAGGAATCATGTGAACAAAGATGACTATACATAAATGATATAAATTCAAGACATATGCCTTACACATGAAGTGTTTTGTTTGGGATTTAATGTCAAGATAACCAATTGTCTAAAACAAATCAGCTTATTAATTTGTTTTATTACTAGATCTAAAACCTTTTCACTCAAAAAATATCTATTTATTATCATTAAAACTTGAAATTCTGAGAAATTTAATATCATTTTTTGACCTAACACTTTATCCTATAATGATATCTAGACTACCACAACATTTATTAAAAAAAAAAAAAAAAAAAAAAAACCAGTTCAGTTTAATTTTTCTAACTCCCCAAGTCAATATGAGGATGCTACAAAAATTAACAATCAACTTTTCACCGAGGATATAAATAATACAGTTCTTTCACCTATAAATGTTTCTTGTCATTCTTAACAAATGTTGTATAAATTCATATTACTTGTCTTTTTCCCAAGTATAAAATTATTTCGGCATATTTTTAATGTTGAAAAAATATTTTATCTATTTCAAGTAATTTAATTTTTTTCTTAATTCTGCTCAATTTTAAACAATTTTCGGAAACGATTATAATATTGCTCGATGATGATGTCATACAAAAACCACATCATATCAACAATTATTTTAAAATAACACGTAATATGTCTATTAACACGTAATTTAACCATATTTTAAACATAACCCACCATCCTAAACGGTGACGTCTTTTAAAAAAAACTAATGTTTTAAAAGAACAAGAACTAAACCAAATGAATTCACATTTTAAGAATTAAAAACATAAAATTGTTATATATATATATATATATATATATTTCACATTTTTTAATAACTAAAATTTATTTTAAAAAAAAACATAAATAGTTGTTATTTCTAAGTAAACTCATTGAAGCATATGTGCTGACATCTTCCTAGTGCATCTTATAATGCTACTCTTAAAGCCATTGGTATGTAATCTGCTCTTGACAGAAATGATGGGCATTGCTTTCCAGCATAGCTATATTTTTTTTCTTGTGTTTTCTTTTTATTTCGTAAAAAAAAAAAAAAAGAATCAACTCATTAAATAAAAATTGAGAAGTACTAAATTTTGTAATTTTAAATAAATTTCAAATAATAATAATATATTAAAAAGTGAATGTTATAGAGCATGCTAACATCCCTCATTAAGAAGCATATTTATCCTTTATGAAATTACAACAATTCTCATTCATTTTAAGCTTCAACAGAAATAGGGATAAATCATTTGAGGCTTTCGACCTCGTATGATCACTACATTACAGTAAAAAGAAATTCATACTAATATTATAGTAATTTAAGCCATTCATATCGTTGAAAACAAAAAAAGCCCAACACGTGTTGAAAGAAATCAAGTGATAGAAACCTCTTTCAAACGATTAAAATAGTGTGGTATAAAAATTTGTAAAAATTAAATTATTTCTATAATCAATTATTCAATCAATTATATGAATAATTGATTATTGTTATTATAATTTATTATAATCAAAATATAATTGTTTGTATAAGCTTATTATAATACGATTTTAATAAGTGTGACTTCATTTTAAATAACAAAATAATTAGTTTTATGTAGTAAATAAATTTAAAGAATAAAAAATTTGTTAAAAAATAATTAACTCCAAATTCCAACTTCACAAAAACAGTTTATTTTTCAAGGAAAAAAAAACTATTACAAATTTAAGATGGTGTTTCAACCATTCGGCTTATTTTACAAACAATATTTTTTCTTGAAAAAATTGCTGAAAGTAAGAAATTTAATCTTTCCCAACCATGTGTGTACACTTACCTTTTTCACTCAAGGGAAAGGCCAAAAGTATACCAAGAAGGAACCTTCCTATGTTTCTCAAATTGTTTGAAATTAACTAGGACGTATATATTGCACACTATTTGTCATAAAATACAAGATATTCCAATTCTCATGCAGAGGACGACAAAACAATAAAAGAATTTGTGGGGTATTGGACAATAATAACACCTAACATATGAATAGTTATTATTAGCATGTGTGAGTAACATTGATGTACAAAATTACAACCGCCACTGTAGTTTGTATAATGGAGAAAGGCATACAAATCTGGGAATATCAAGTACAATTACTTGCTTTGCTCAGTGCCCTCCAGGGTTCCTATTCCATGACAAATAAGAGGGATCTCCAAGTTGCCTAAAGAAAGAGACAGATATATTAGGAGCTAATAATATTAAAAATTATATGAATCATGGACAAGCAATAAACTACTTTACAATTTCAATGGATATACAGTTGAATCTACTAGGAATTAGGAATATAAGTATAGAAAGGGCAAAACATGCATCATGTACAACAAGAACTAAGCCAACCTCTTGATATTTTGGCTTTTGCTATTTATATATACAAGTTTCTAATCAAAATTTTCATGACTAGTTTCTAAACTAAATGAATGCAGTAATTCAGAGGTTTTTACCTACCCTACTAGTGCAGGAAACAATACCGTTTTGTTTGTCTTTCTTCCATCTTTGTATGCCAAAGATGTAAACTTTCACTCACATATCAAGAAGTTCTTATACATAGAATTAACTAAAGCAATATGTAGCTTCTAATCAAATTTACTGATGAGGTGCTAATCAATACTACGTTGGTAAGTAAAAAAGTCATGGAATGAGAGAACTTAAGTCCGATATTCCAATGTGTGCAAAAGGTGAGTGCATTCAACACCATTCTGGTCAAATATAACTAAGGTCCTATCTGGATAAATTTTTCTAAAAGAACTCTTAAGAGAAAATAAATATGAACAAATATTGAAATAAATTTTTCCCTATGTTAAAACTTAAAACTAGCTTATGCACAAGATAAAAATAAAATTTTAGAGAAGTTCAAAGGAGAGAACTTTTATAAATTAGCTTACACATAAACTAATTTTAGCTTATGGAGAAGCTTATTTCATTTTTTATTCCTATTTTTCCCCCTTAAAATGCTTATGGAGAAGTTCACATAAACAGACCATAAGCAACAAAATAGAAAATCCCATTATGATGTGTCACAAACAGTCTGTCTCTTAAACGGACTTGAAGGTAGAAAGATATAAAGGAATTTTTTATTTTTTATTTTTTACCTTGGCTTGATGAGATAAATGATGGTAAAGGCCAGAACCAAAAAGAAGCTCAATCCTCCAACAGTGAGATACGCAATGCCAAGGAAGTCATTCTTGCCACCTAGCCAGCTAGTGGTCGACAGAACAAGCTTCTTCTTGCCACTAAAACTATATGTGTTGTAGTTATTTCCCAAATTCACCTGTATGACATCGCCTTTCTCCAGATCTACCTCAATCTTACCATACAACTTCCTAAAAGTTGGCAAAGCAGCAGTTCGCATCCAAACAATAAGATCCTCCTGCTCACTCAACTGTTCCATAAAACTCAAAAAGTGAGCAACTTATCTCATTGAAGCAAGTGAATAAAGAATGTCTAAAATATCATGAGATGGACGATGGAATATATTCGAAAACATAAAAATGAAAGAAAAAGCAATGAAGAAATAAATGCATGTAAATAAATGCTTCCATATGATTGATATATTCCAAATGCACAACTCAGGATGCCATTTTGTTGACTACTCAATAGCTGATTCATCATTTGTTTGTTCAAAGTCATGAACGAGAAGTTCATTCTCACCACAAGGTGCATAGAGTTTTTTTTTTTTTTTAAACAAGTTTTTGGAGTGCTAAGTATCGCTATAGGATAGTGAAAACCCAACAAAGTGCCTAGAGTTACACTATTATTCCCATTATCCTCTACTCTGATCTGAACATATCTCGAAATTTAACAACTTAATTAAATTTGGACAAGGACATTGGACTGATGAAATAACATGCCCAATAATTTTCTACAGCTATAACTCTAAACTAAGAATTCTGGATACCAAAAATGTCAACAACTTGATTCTCATAGCAATAAAAAGATATTGATGAGGTTTTCAATTATATATATTTACTTTTACACTTTGGATATTTTAAAAATAAGCAAATTATTATTACATCCAAGACTTTCCTGTCTTCAGATTCAATAGCTGAGTAGTTTCAAACAGCTGTATGCAACTCAAAGGGTTAGGATATAGAATAAAGGGAATTAAAGTTGTTATTAATTAGAAGGATATCATTTTGTTATTAATTAGAAGATATCATTGGCCTGGCCAATGATATCCTTCTAATTAATAACAACTTTAATTCCCTTTATTCTATATCCTAACAAATAGAATTATCAATTATCAAATATTTAACATTCTAACCAGATAGTTTTATTCCAAACTGTATCATGTTAACTATAATGATAGGTTTTTAAAACCAAAAAGTGGTTTAGCTCAGTTTTTAGTAAAGAAAAAAAAAATCAAAAATACAAAACCTATGTGCACAGTATGTACCAATCATTAGACTGTCTGAAGTAATTTAGTATAAAAATATTAATAAATAATAATGAATAATACGTTGCAAGCACAAATATATTAATATTTAAACAGTGGCTCAATTTAGACTTACTGGAATGTTTACATCAAGATGACCACCGCCTATTATAGAACCATTCTGAAAATTTTTTGGAAAAACATCACTTCCAAATTTGTGCTCCCTGTCACTCTTCCATGAAATGCCTTTCTTGTTCACTGTCAAATTATTGCTGTTGCGCGAGAAGCTGTATGTATCGTTGAACAAGCTCCAAGCAATAAGACCACAAGGCACTATTGGCATTCCATTAGCATCATCTTCAGGCTCACAACCACTCACCGAGTTTGCTTTTCCAGAATCCCTCAGTTGATCATCATTTCGGCTTTTAACATACCTAAATAACAAAAAAAAAAAAAAAAAAAAAAAAAAGGAACATATTTATAAATTTCAAACAATTATATAAAATGAACTATATGCATTAGATTCCACTATCAACCAAGCAAACATTTTGAGACTGGATATTATTGAAGGAACCAGTCACCCAAAGACATTGAACTGACAGACTACTATAGATACATAAAAAAAAAAATTTAAAAAAGGAAAACTATTTTGGATATAAGATGAACATATAAAAAAATTATTCATAATTTCAAATCACTCTCCTAAAACTTCATGTAATACAACGGGATCACTTTTGTGTCTGATGTAATTCCGTAAACATCTTCAAGTTAGAAACTTAGACATAACTAATAATTTATAATTGTAATTTGTTAAAATATTTTTGGCATTTTACACTATAGCTTTTAAGTAAAATTCATGTCAGTTGCTAAACTAGTTACTTTCTACTTTCATTGTAAAACTGTAGCAGACTAGCTGGAAAGCATGACAGCTAAACAAAGCAGTGCAGTGGAACTCAACATTTGATAGTAACTTGAAATTTCCCAATGAAATAGAATAGTTGTTATGTTAGATAGTTGGCAGCCAACATAAAACATTGTTGAATCGTTGAGTTATGGCATGTATCGACAATAAAATTGTCATTTAATTGATCCTTGTCCTTGTCACTTCATACCAATTTCCTCATGGGTGATAAACATGAAATTCAGAAAGAGAATAAAAAAAAATATAAAAAAAAAAAGATAAAAGCTGCTTGATTAACAAGAAATAAAGTATGTACCGCCGATGATTCTGGTAAAAGTTGTCAAGCTGGTAGTAAACATAGATAGGAGACTTCATGCGCTTCTCCACCTATTCACAAGAGGAATGTTTATTAAGAAAACAATCATCAAAAATTGAAATCCATAATTCATCAATTATAGTAACATAAACAGAATAATTACGGTTAAACATCAGAGAAATCAGTGTCAAGGAATCTTACATGTAGTTCTCTTTTGCATGGCTTTTCTCCTGGAGTCTGAATGTATGCCACCTTGTCTGTCACATTTGAAGGTATACACTCTGCATCATACCTATCAATTATTTCAACAACCTGATAGATAGATAATTAAAAAATATATAAATCAAAGTCAGCACTCAGCATTATTGAACTGCAGAACTGGTAAGCAAAATTTGAAAAGCATTGCACTCAAGCATACATCATGTGAAGCAATTAACGAAGCAACTCCAATGGGAACGAACACGATGGTGACAATCAAGAATGCTGAAATCACCTGCAGCAAAAGTAATACGCCATGTAAATATATACTTCTAAAAACATATAGAGAGAATCACTTCAAACATATTTATTACAAACTAGTTTTTGTAAGATTGAGTTAAACTTCAATCCACTTTCTTGAGAATATCCAAACAGGTAGACTTACTGCTCTTGGTGTGAGAATAGGCTTGCACGCTGGAAGTTCTTGTTGTGTAAACTTTGAGTCTAAAGGACATAAAAAATTTCAAAGAGAACTTTAGTAACAAAAGTTGTGCGTAATTAGAAACAAAGAAGACACAAACACAATTGTTGTTAAATCAAAACACTCTCTAACTTCAAAAGCAAAAGAAAAAACCCTCAACTAGCTGAACAATAAATATCCATGTCAAAACCATTCATTTCCTTACACAAGCCCCAAAAAATCAAAAGGGGTTGACATATTTATCATAACAAAGTCTTCTAAATTCTTGAAACACAGCTACAGAAAAGGGGTCTTAGAAAAAAAGAAAAAAAAAAATCCCCCAACAAAACCATTAACCCTGCCCTAACAAAAACCAAAATTCACGTGACAAACAGAAGCAAATCAGCGAACAAAAGAAAAATCCAAAAGAGAAATTGATAAGAAAAGAGAATCATTACACTTGGGTTTCTTGCTTTGTCTTCTGGTGGTTGATGGATCACTGGATCCAGCGGTAGACGTTGCCATGGCCAAAGAACCAATCCAATTCAATTAAAAACTTGACCTTTTCCGAAAAAGCTAGAAGACCCAGAAGAGAATTGAGCCAAAGAAGAAGAAGAAGAAGGAATCAACAAATGAAAAAATGAAACTTGAGAGAGAGAGAAGGTTGAATATAATTGTAGAGAAAGAGGGGACCGGTTACCGGTTGGATGGGTGGCTATGGGAATTGACTTTTATGGAAGAAGGAAGGAGGGAGGAGGGTTCTATTGGCGGGGGCGGCCGGTGACCCTTTCTCCCTCTCTCTCCCTCTTCAAAGACAGAACAGAGAAAGGAGAGAGAGAGAGAGAGGGACCAAAGACCAGTCAAACAAAATACAAACACAAATCACACGCTTTCATTGAATTCAACTTCTTATGTTAATGTTTTTTTTTTTTCTTTTTCTTTCTAATTTTGGTTTTTCAAACTTCCAGAATGCTGACACCGGACCTGGCTGAAACTTCGATGTGTAGAAAATTAGTAGCCAAGTTCTTCAATTATTTAAACATAATAATAAATAATAAATTATATAGAAACGTCAATGTTTCGTGAGTCTACACGTTCCCTTACTTTTTCTGTTCATGTATTAACCTTCTTAATTATTTAAAAGATATTTCGTAAATACTTTTAAAAATCAGGTTAAAAACGATACATTGTGACTTCTGCAAGAGAGCGTAAACGTTGAAAAAAAAAAACAAAAGATATATTATCTAATTTTATAAAAGCTTAATAAAGGTAGGTGTAATATATTCTTAAAAACAATTAAATAATTTTTAAACTAATTTAGTTATTTAAAACATTTAAAAAACTAAAATTAAATAATTTCAACAGATTAAAATCATTATGGTTAACTTAGTTATGAAGACCAACCTTGACCATTGATGAAATGATCACCTAAAATTCCATTGCTGAAGAGACACCAAAATAAAAAATTATTCAATTTATATTTGTTCTGCTATAGAGAATGTATAGAGTTTTGTCTAAGCATTCAACTAAAGTTATATCATTTAAAAGTGTAATTTGTCCTTTATTCTAGGATTAAGATTTTTATACTTGACTATTATGGGTTTATAAACTCTAGGAATTTTGGGATTTGATAAGGTAGTTTCTTATTAGTATGCGATCTTGATTAATAAAGATAAAATTTTGTCCTAGATATGGATCTCAGGTTGAATTTTTGTCGACATCCCTTGAAGGGTTGGGTTACTCGATCTATTAGGAGTATGATTGATAGAGTACTCGGCCAAACTCTCTCAACATGATCCTTTTGGTTAGAACCTCTTGGCTAAAACCTCTCAGCCAAACCCTCTCAACCTGACCCTCTTGATCAAAACCGTTTAGCAAAAACATGGGAGTGTACACTTACCCACCAGTCTCAAGCATGAAAAACGTAGAGACTAAGTTGTAACACTCAATCTGATCCTCTCAGCCTAACCTCTTGGCTAACACCTCTTGATCCAACCATCTCGGCTTGATCCTCTCGATCAGAACCTCTCAACCAAAACCTCTCAACAAAAAGTCAAGAAGGTACAATATTATATAAAAATAAAAATTTACATAATTAAATTATATTGAAAATAAATTAAGAACAATGTTAAGTCAAAAGACAATGTTAGGCTCCCTTGGTCTTAAGTTTTGTTGTTAACAAACATAGAAGTTTTTTATCAATAGTACAAAGTTTTAGAAATGACTAAGATGAATCTTTCTCTAAGACGAAATTCACCTAGTAAGATGAATCTTTCTATAAGACAATATGTTCATTAAGACGAATCTATTAAAGAATAAGACGAATCCTTAGTCATTAAAAGAGATATGCATTAAATCCTTATTATTTATGATCTCTAAACCAAATACTAACTACATCTAAACAATTCCTTAGCAGATCATTTTTAAAAAGGCTTCATTGGTACCACTGTTCTACAAAAAGGAAAGAAATACATGTTTTGTTTTAGAAAAGGACAAACAAATTTCTACAACCATGAAAAGTTATAACCAAAAGGTCTTTCACCACTACAATGTCCTAACACATGCATGGTTCTACCTACTTGGTGCCAAAAGGTGATAAGTAGCTTCCTTGATCAGATAAGAAATGACAATTTGGTGAAAGCATTTAATGTAAGCATTTATTACACCAACGAACACTTCTCTCCTAGAAGAAAATTGTGAAGACAAACGAAGCAAGTCATGAGAGATAAGTTCAAAAACTAGCAATGGTCATCTTCATCGAAGCTATATAAAAGGAAGCTTGAAGTTTAGTGTAACGACCCGCCGTGGTCTCTACACTTAATGGAATCGCACTAAATGGAAACTAAGATAATTAATAAAATTGGATAACTCATAAATACAAAACATGAACAAATATATATATATAAAATAATAGTGTTTTTAAGTATTAGTATTTATACAGTTATCCAAAACTACTATCTCCTAGTGCCGGTCAAGCACAAAATTGTTACCCAAGATGGTAACTCTGACACTAGGTACCAAAAAAATCCACTTCTAGCAACAGTCAACAGCTCCAACCTAGCCCTGATCTGCTCCCATACACCGTATGTCCACATGGAAACAAAAGGGTAAGCTAGAATTCAATAAACAACCATACAAGTATAGGAAAAAACACTATACTACCCATTCATCCAATCATCATCACAAATGACCATACTGTTCAACATAAAAACACATCTCATTCATACAACTTAGAAACAACTTTAATATAACAACAACAACAATAATATACAACTTAATATTTAAATGCGTCGTCACGCATATACAACTAGGAGATCTCCAACAACTGAGGTTGAGCAGTATAGGTGGCATAAACCCTACCGAATCCAGCGTTTGACCTATCTCAACCAGGTCAGGTATAGAACAGCTTTAGGAACTCCGAAGAGAACCAGGTATAGACAACAATAGTTGATTTCTCAGGTGTGCCACTTAGACTCGGAGGTCCAGTACTACTGTCAGGACAGAAGGGTTTGGGTATGAGCCTACCACGGCCTTGGCTAGCTTCACCAATCCACATGTGGAGTTAGCCCACCCACTGTCCTCCAAGTACCACGCACCCTCCAGTATCTAGTCAAAGACTGCATCTCTAACTAGATACCTTACTCAACTTGGTCAATCAACCATGACATGGATTGACTATTTCCATGTCGCCCAC